GCGGGTTGTGATCTGACTCTGGCTGTGGGATCCAGCCTGGATGTGCAGGCTGGTGTTCTAACAGGACTCCAGCATGTGATATTTAACATGTGACTTTCTGCAGGAAGTGCTCTAGTTAGATTGCTGTTCTATAGAGCAAGTCAAACAGCATAAAAAAAAAAGGCTCTAGCCTTGTGTCCAGGAGCTTAGCGGGAAAGGGGAATGCCCACGAAGTCTGTCCGTGCAAAGGCGACATGGAATGAATACTCCAAACACTTGTGCCCCTCACTATTGAAACAATGGACCCCAAGAAACTGGAATTTCCAGTGGAATCTGATGCTGGAGAAGGAAAAGGCCTGGTACCAGATAGAGGGGGAACTGGTCTCACAGGAAAAAGTTCCACACGGTTCTGACTTGCCAGACCACCTTGCAGCGGAGACTGATGATGGGTAGGGCCAGACCTTGACCAGGACTGCTTAGCGTCCTATCTCTGGTCTTCCCTTTATACCTTAACCTCCTGTCAGGGACGTGGGGATGAACTTAGGGGTCTCTGGACCTCTTTTCCCAATGTGTCTACACTGAATAAATCTTTCTCTTTTTGCCCTGTTTGTCTCTTTTTAAAAAAATATTTATTTTTTTATTTTATGTGTATGAGTGTTATGCCTGCATGTATGAAAGTGCACCCGGGTCGAACAATGCCAGCAGAGGACAGAAGAGCTGTCAGATCCCCTGGAACAAGAGTTACGGACAGTCGTTAGCTGCCATGTGGATACTGGGACTTGAACCCAGGTCTTCTGCAAGAACCGTGTTCTTAACCGGTGAGCCATCTCTCCAGCCCCTGTTTGTCTCTTAAATTGGCCTATTGAGGATGTGTCCTAGCCAGGCTTGTTAGGGCCACCAGGGCCCAGGCTCTGCCTCTCACAACTCTGCTAATAGTGTAAAGGTGTATGCTGAGCTAAAGCAATATTTATCCTTGGGCTGCAGTATGGGGGTGGGACAGGTGACACTGGCCTTTGTCTATTAATTTTTTGGAGACAGGGTCTCCCTATGTAGTCCAGGCTGGCCTCAAACTTGTAGGGATCCTCCTGCCTCAGCCTTCTCAGTGCTGAAATTACAAGCTTGTGCCACCATGCCCAGCCTTATGTTGGCCTTTTGTATGTCTGTGTTGTGTGGGCACATTGTGGGGTAAGTGCCTCAGAGGTGCACATCAAGTGTCTTCCTACATTGCTCTCCTTATTTTTTTATCTTTTTTTTTTTTTTGGTCTTTTTGAGACAGGGTCTCCCTGTAGCCCCAGCTGTCCTGGAACTCACTATGTAGACCAGGCTGTCCTTGAACTCACAGAGATCCGCCTGCCTCTGCCTCCCAAGTGCTGGGATTAAAGGCATGTGCCACCACGCCCGGCTCCTCCTTAGTTTTTGAGACAGGGTCTCTCACTGAACCTGGAACTCAACAATAGGCTTGTCTGGCTGACCATCAAGCTCTGGGGATCCCCCTGTCCCCAGCGCAAGGGTTGCAAGTGCATGCTGTCACAACAGGTGCTGGAAAACTAAACTCAGGTCCTTGTAAGTACAAGCTCTTTACCCACTCCACTGAGCATCTCCCCAGGCCCTGCTTTTCAAATCCAGGCTTTTCTGGGGGCACTGTTGCGGTACAGCCGTTTGGCAGTGTAAGCACCTTTAATGACAAAATTGACTTGAAACGCACCGAAAGGCACTCTTTTCAAATAAAATATCCAGCGCAGTACTAGGTGCTGTGTGAAGCACGGCAGAATTGCCATTTGCAATCTAGTCCTGGTTTTCTGGGTTTCTGGAAGGATCTTTGCAGTCACGTGGCACTTGAAAGTAGCTTCTGTCTGGGAAGGGGCTCCCTCAGCAATTCACACGGCACAGGACTGAGGTGTTTCTGGGTGACTTTGGGTGACTCCTATTTTGCATGATGGAAAGCCTTGAGTCCTGGCTCTTAATTCCCCCGACACCACTGAGGCTCTTTCTGATCTTAAATGGGGTGGAATCCCCAGCTCCAGCCTGAGTGGGTAATGAAAGTTTGAAAGCACTGGGCTCGGCCTTCCTTCAAACTTGGCCAACCAGGGTGAGCTGGGGACCCTCCCACGGCCACAAATCTTCACTCCGCCCTCCCACCCGACCACCCTCCCTTTGTTTGCTCCTTCAATGAATCTACCTCTGCAACACATTCATCCTCACTGGGCTTCGTAGGGGCCCAGCTCACAGGCCGCCAACAGACAGAAAACCTCATTACCCAACTTGAATGGGGACTGTTTTTCTCTTTCCTGGAAGCCTCCCTCAGGAGCTCCACAGTCCTTTCTCTGATGAAAGCGGTCTCTCCTGCTGGGCGGAATGTCGCCATAGCCCCAACACAGCCCATGCTGTTCTCTTTCTTAAAGACTTTTTGTTTTACTTCATTTAACTTGTTTTTCGTGTAAACTCAATGGATGGCACTCAGGAGCCACCTGGTTAGTTTCCTCTTTCAATGCTGGGCCAGATGTGGAAGGAACCCACTCTAACCTGAGTCCACTCTAACCTGAGTCCACTCTAACCTGAGGCTTGTTCCTCCTGGCCCACCAGTCAGATCTGTGTCCTGTTAGGTTTGAGCTAGGGCCTAATCAGACATTTCCCAGCAGTTTTACAGATAGAGCAGACACCTCACAGGGAATCTGCCTGTGAGCCTGTGATAGGCTCCCTGGGCATCCCAGGCTCCCTGGGCACCCCGGACTCCCTGAAAGAAATGCTAAATCTGGGGGCAGCCAGGCGGGTCCTAGGAGTTGATTCTGGGCCCCCTGTTGCTATAAAGAGAGGTAAAGAGCAAACACCCTAATTCTGAGATTCTGAGAGAAGGATGGTTCCTAGGAACCTGAGACCTCAGACATCAAAGGGTTAAGGCAAGTCCTCTGCGCACCTTGTGAAGGCACCCAAGGTGCTCCTCCTCCACACCTCCCCCTTCCTCCACATTCCTTCCCCACATCCCCACCATCCTAGCTGCGCCTTTTCCCCTTCCCCAAATGCCTTCTTAGGCGAGCTTCCTCACTTTTCCAGGAGAGCCAGATCCCCAGCCCTCCAGGAACGTCTCCATCAGAGGCCCAGCTGGAAAATGAAACAACAGAGCCACAAGCCAGCGGCACAGGTCAGTTTGCCTTGAACAGGAACCGTCCTCCGTGGCCCCTGTTCTGGGAGGTACTGAAAAGTTCACGTTCGGTTTCCTTGCAACCTGAAGGCCAGAGGAATCTGAGGCTGGGCACTAAGTTTTGCCACAAGTTAAATGCACAAAGGACAGGAACACCAGTTCACCTAGCCGTCCAACGACTCCCTGCAGTGGGATGAGCTAGCTTCTGGTGGTGGGACAGCATTCTGTTTTGGGCAGGGCAGGAATTCCACATCAGGCATGTGGAGGTTATTCCATGCCTTTTGTGTGCAGACTGCAAAGCAGCTCGTAGGTGACTGGCATACAAGCCCCCACCTTCCCCATTCAAGAAGAAAGTCTGAGAGCTACTGCTATGAGTTGGAAGTCTCCAGAACCCAGGCCCTCCAGGGTGGAGGAAGGGATTACGGCTGCATCTGGTCCTGGGGTCTGGTGTCCTTGCTCTCTATTCAGGGTCCATGCCTGTGACCTTGAACTCCATTTGGACAGGGTTCTTATCTGCAGTGATGCCTGGTCACTCTGGGTACGAATCTCCAGCCTGGGAGCTCAGTTTCATTCTCAGAAAGGGGTTCTGTAGCCTCCTGGCCTTTTGGTGGAGGGTGGACATAGTGATGGTGACCTCACTACACACCATCAGAGCCCATCGAAATGCTTCTTTGTGGGGTCTCCCCTCTATGGAATAAGGCTGGCTGGGGTTAGTCCTCCTGGCTCCATGTGGCCCTCTCCCGGGGTCTCTCTGGGGTCTCTCTTTGGGATCCTGCCACAGTTCACTCATCTCGTTCAACCACGCAGGGCAGGTCCCCACCCCTGTCCATCTTCCTGTGTGGGTCCTGGGCTGGGCCCGCTTGTGCGCTCCAGTGTCCCCAGGGCTCAGAACAGGACTCACTTTACACAGGCTGAATCCATGAGCTGGCCTTGACTTGATTCGACTCTTTGTTTTTTGTTTTTCTGTGTTTGTTTTTTTTCTTTTCAACTGTTTTTTGCCCAGGCGCCAAGCTCCAAGAAATCAATTCTGCTCTAAGAAACCGGTTTTTCTCAGTCCCTGCTAGCCTTTACCACCATCTTCTCTCCATCCTTAGGGATCTGTGACCTCAGCTGGCCAGACCCATCCTCCCTGTTCTAACAGCTGTCTCTAATTTCCTTGTAGGTGCTGAGGTGCTAGTTTCAGATTTTAAATTTTTCATTTATTTATTTTTTAAAAAATATTTTTTTTCATTATTTTTATTTTATATGTATGAGTATGTTGCCTACATATGTGTAAGTGCACTCGTGTCGTGTGATTCCCACAGAGGTCAGAAGAGGACATCAGATCCCCTGGAACTGGAGTTAAAGATGGTTGTTAGCTGCCATGTGGGTGCTGGGAATTCAACCAGGTCCTCTGCAAGAGCAGCCAGTGCTCTTAACTGGTGAGTCATCTCTCCAGCCCCTATTTATTTATTTTTATGTGTATGAGTGTTCTGTCTACATGTATGTAAGTGCATCTATGCATGCAATGCCTATGGAGACCAGAAGAGGGCACAGATCTCCTGAAACTGGGGTTATGGTTAGGTGTTAGCCTTCATGTGGGCTCTGGGAACTGAACCCAGGTCCTCTGCAAGAGCATCCAGTGCTCCTAACCACTGAGCATCTCTCCAGCCCCCTAATTTTGGAATTTTCAGGAAAGGATAACTCCAGGTACTTGGCTTGGGAGGTGTGGTGGTGCGAAGGATCCTATGGTGGAACCAGAGTGGCCTCACCCTAGCTCTGTCTTCTCTCTGAACATGAACCCTTGACTCTTCTTGCCCTTAGTAGGTCAGAAGGAGCCTGCAAGCACTGTCTTGATAAAATTGCCTGTCTTCTTATGGCTGAGTCCCAGCCCGGAACCATGTGAATAGAGCTCTGGGTTCCTAGTTTTATAAACAAACTCGTAAACATTCCTAACCCCCCAAAAGGCAGCTCTGCCAACCGGACCCAGACTTTCTGATGCACTTCTAAAACACTTGGCTGCCAATGTTCCAGTTGCAAAAGGGGAAACTTCATAAACTGCTCCCTCCCACCTGACCTGTGGAGGAGGGCGGAATTCATGGTGGGTCGGAAGCTATGAACATAACAGTTTATAAAATTCCAAGTACGGAGGCCCCTCCGGTGAACCTAGCCAGCCGTCAAGTGGCAAAACTGACAGCCCTGTGTGGGTGGATGGAGCAGGTCACATGAGGGAACAGGCTCAGTTGGGAGGACAGGAGAGGCCTGGGGACACACAGAGGCTCAGGAGAAGACAGAGCCTGTCAGATAGCAAGTACCTCCAGAAAAATGATTAAAATCAGAGGCCTGAGTTGGGCATGATGATGCAGGCCTGTAATTCCACTACTGGAGAAGCTGAGGCAGGAGGACTAAGAATCTTATGGGCAGCCTGGGCTACACGAGAGAGGCTACATTTCAATTAATTAATTAATTAAGCAAGTAAATAAGGGAATTGAATGTGGAAAGTATTTAAACATATCCTCTACCCCTATTTCCTGCCTTCCAGAAACTCAGAATTTAGAAGACATTAAATGTAGGCTGGGCATGGTGGTCTATACCTTTAGTCCCAGTACTTGAGAGACAAGGGCAGGCAGAGGTCTGCAAGTTCAAAGCTTACCTGGTCTACACAGAGACTTTCAGGCTAGCCAGGACTACATAGTGAGACCCTGTCTTAAAAAGAAGAAGTCAGTTCTTTGGGACTGGAGAGATGGCTCAGTGGTTAAGAGCATTTACCTGATTCCCATCACCCACAATCCAGCTAGTGATGACCTGTAACTCCAGTTCTGGGGGTCTGATGCCCTCTTCTGGCCCCTGAGGGCAATGCATACATGGGGTGCACTTCCATACATGCAGGCAAACACTCATAAAATAAAAATAAAAAGACATTAGATGCAAAACAATTTCTATTTAAATTTTATCTTGTATATTAGGATTGTAGTCTTTAAAAAATAAATCATAAAAATATTTATTTTAAAACAATTCTCTTGGCTGGGTGTGGTGGTGCACACCTCTAATCCCAGCACTCGGGAGGAAGAGGCAGGCAGATCTCTGTGAGTTTGAGGCCAGCCTGGTCTACATAGTGAGTTTCAAGCCAGCTGGGGCTAGTGGGAGACCCTGTCTCAAAAATGCCAAAGCAAAGCAAAACAAAAAAACCCCAGAGAAACCCCAAAAAACCCAAAACAAAAAAACAATTCTTTTGTATACATATAATTTTATTATCATTTACCAATCATGAAGGCAAATTTGCATTCTGACAAGATGATTATCTTTTAATATTTTTTATGTATTGAAAATTTCATACATTTATGCAGTGTATTTTTATTATATCTGCACACTGTAATCCTTTTTACAGTTGTCTCTCTTTTTTGAAACAGGAGCCCAGACTGGCCTCCAACTTTCTGCGTAGCCCAGGATGACCTTGAAATTTTGCTCCTCCTGCCTCTACCTCTTGAGTGCTAGGATTGTAGGCCTGTGCTACAAGGCTAGACTTAGGCAGTGCTGGGGCTGTAAACCAGGGCATTGTGCATGCCAGGCCAGTGCTCTGGCAACTGAACCATGTCCTCAGCCTTTTAATCATTGTTGTAGTACATTTTGTGGCATAGATTCTCATCAAATACACTTTTTATTTATGCATTATTTTTATCTTATGTGTATGAGTGTAGTGCCTACATGGACATAAGTGTACCATGTGTGTACAATAATACACTTGGAGGCTAAAAGATAGTGTTGGCTCCCCTAGAGCTGGAGTTATAGAAGGTTGTTAGTTGCCATGTGGAAGCTGGGAACTTGTGATTGAATGAGTAGAGAAATTTAGCTATGTTGACTGAGAAACTATTAAAAAAGATTTAAAAAAATTATTTTTATGTGTGAGTGTTTTGCCTGTGTATTGTATGTATGTTTGCCAGAAAAGGGTGTCAGAGCCCTGGAACCAGAGTTACAGATGATTGTGAGCCACCATGTGGGTGCTGGGACCCGAACCCAGGTCCTCTGCAAGAGCAGCCAATGCTCTTAGCTGCAGAGCCGTCTCTCCAGATCTAGTGGTGTTTTTGAGACAAGGTCTCACTTTGTGGCTCAGGCTGGACTTGAACTCCCAAGTGCTGAGATTACAGATTTGTTCTCTACACCCAGCTCTGAAAGTCTGTCTTGTCAATAAATTGATTTTGAACGATATGAACCAAGGTTTCTTTAAGTATGACTCTTCCCTTTTAATTCAGTTTATCCGTTTAACCCACCCCAAAATTATCATATTGACAGGCATTTAAAATAGACTCTGATTCTATATGTTTATTTATTTAAAAATATTTTATTTATTTATTTTATTTTATGTGTGTGAGTGTATTGCCTACATGTATGGAAGTGTACCCATGTCATACAATGCCCGTGGAGGTCAGAAGAAGGCGTCAGATCCCCTGGAACTGCAGTTATGCATGATTGTTAGCAACCATATGGGTTCTGGGAACTGAATCTGGGTCCTCTACAAGAGCAGCCAGTGCTCTTAACTGCTGAGCCATCTCTCTATTCCCTCTGTAAGTTTATTTTAAGGGTATAATTGTTCTAATTCTCAGTTTTTAAGTTAAAGTTGACAAATCTACATGTATCTCTATGGTATTTTCTTTTTCAAAGATTTATTTATTTATTTACTTATTTATTTGGTCTTTTTGAGACAGGGTCTCCCTGTAGCCCCAGCTTGCCTGGAACTCGCTGTGTAGACCAGGTTGGCCTTGAACTCACAGAGATCTGCCTGCCTCTGCCTCCCGAGTGCTGGTATTAAAGGCATGTGCTACCATGCCCGGCCTATTAATTTTTATTTTATATATATGTATAAGTGACCGCATGTGTATATGTGCACCATGTATGTGCATTGCCTGTGGGGGCCAAGAAGAAGGTGTTGGATTCCATGGAATTTGGAGTTACAGGTGGTTGTGAGTTGCCATGTGGTTGCTGGGAACTCCAGGTCCTTTGCAAGAGCAGCCAGTGCTCTTACTAGTTGAGCCATCTCTCCAGCCCCATCTCTATGGTATTTATGAGTCATTTGCACAGTTAATGCAGCCAGTGAAAGAATGTCCAGCAAATGGCTCGGTTCACAGTCTGCTGACACACACTTTCCATTCTGTTCTCAGGGACTCAAGGCAATCTGCCTAATTGTCCTCAAGAAAGGAAGGGCCAGGGTGGCAGTGGGGGTCACTCTATCCATTAATGGCACTGCTTTTCCTCTGGTCATTTTATCTATATGGAAACAGTGACGAGGACATTGTAGTGGACATTTAAATTACTGTACATGCAAGGTGCTGTTGTTAACAGCAAATGGCCTAGCTGAGAGCTAAGGAAACAGAGCTGGGGACAGCCTGCTCGTGAAAATTTCTCCAGACACCATATGCCACTGGTATAAATAGATTGTTTGATCTGCTTACACTTCAGTGACAGGGCTGCTGGCCTGACTCTGGGGAGAGGCTCGCCTAGAATCCTCCAGTGAGGAGCTAGTGGCTGTCACTTAGTGGTAGAAATCTTGCCTGGTATCCACCAGTGAAGGTCTTAGTTTTTATTAATTTGTCACAAACTGGAGTCACTTGGGAAAGAGGAAACTCAGCTAATTGTCTCCAGCAGACAGGTGTGTGGGCATGTCTGTGGGGTGTTTTATTTTTTTTCAAAAAATGTTATGATTTATTTATTTTAGCTGGGTGTGGTGGTGCACTCATTTAATCCCAGCACTCGGGAGGCAGAGGCAGGCAAATCTCTGTGAGTTCGAGGCCAGCCTGGTCTACATAGCAAGTTCCAGGCCAGCTGGGGCTACTGGGAGACCCTGTCTCAAAAAGAGAAAAAAGGAGATTTATTTATTTTTATTTTATGTGTATGTGTGTTTTGCTTGCATGTGCGTATGTTTACCACATGCACACCTGGTGCCCACAGAGGCTAGAGGCCAGTAGCGGGTGTTAGACCCCCTGGAACTGGAATTAAGGATGGTTGTTGGTTGCCATGTGGGTTCTGGGAACTGAAGCTATGTCCTCTGCAAGAGTACTAAGTGCTTTTGATCACTGAGCCATCTCTCCAGCCAAGTCACTTTCTTGATTGCTGATTGATGTAGGAGGGCCCAGCCCATGGTGAGTGGTGCCATACCTGGGCAGGTGGGCCTGGCCTGTATAAGAAAGGTAGCTGAGCAAGTCAGGGGGAGCAAGCCAGTGAGCAGCGTTCCTCCACAGTCTCTGCTTTCTCTCCTGCCTCCAGGTTCCTGCCTGAATTCCTGTCCTGACTTCCCTCAGTGATGAAATGTGACGTGGATATGTAAGCCAAATGAACACTTTCCTCTCCAAGTTGCTTTGGTCAGTGTTTTATCACAGGAACAGCAAT